CAGAAAATGTTGTTTTGTTCGTGTTTTCAATAATCAACTTTATCGATAATCAACTTTATGATTCTTCCCGACATCTATTGGTGAATAATAATAATACTGTTTTTCTTAATTGAGGGCAACTAACCGCTTTAAAGACACGACAAGATGGCGTTCTCAAAAAAAAAAAAACCGGTCATCATCTAGTTTTACTTACACTGGGCCAATAATAATTCGTCTGCTATCCAAGAAGCTTTCGGACAAATCATTATCGTTCCCTTATTATTATTCATTTACCCATTTTATAAACCTCCATTAAGTTCGGACAGTGCTTCCAGCTGCGACTACAATGAGTGCTTAACGACAGAAACATTTCACCTCGCCGAGCGGAAATTGCAAATCTCTCTGGCGCTTTGTTGGAAGTAAAACCTTCTCAGGACTCTAAGTCGTCGTTTGGCGTTTTCTCTCATTTTAAATATTAAAGTTTAATTTGTTAGGTTATTTTGTTTCAGTTCTAACCTTTATTACCTAAATGTTAATTTTCTATTTTCGGTCGTAGGAGAATTGTGATTATAGGACGAACAATGTTACAAGTTTAAATTCGTAATTATTTATTTCAAAAATTGAATGTATTGAAATAAATTAATAGGCAAATTAATTAATAGGGTAGGTAACACCACCCCGTCTATTTCTGCCGCGAAGCAGTAATACGCTTCGGTTTGAAAGGTGTAGTAGCCGTTGTGATTATACTGAGACCTTAGAACTTATATCTCAAGGTGGGTGGCGCATTTACGTTGTAGCTGTCTATGGGCTCCAGCAATCACTTAACGCCAGGTGGGCTGTGAGCTCGTCCACCCATCTATGTTCATTGCTGAGCATCGTGATGAGCCCACCTGTGACTTTTAGCCACTCATGTCGGTCAGTGGCACAGCGAAGTGCCTAGCTCAGTTTCGTGTCCAGATGCCCGGACAGCCAGATGGTAGACCAGATGGTAGGCAGCGGCTTGGCTCTGTCCCTGGCATTGCTGAAGTCCATGGGCGACGGTAACCACTCATCATCAGGTGGACTGTGTGCTCGTCTGTCTGCAAGGGCAATAAAAAAAATAGCAACACTGTTGGTGGGAGTAATGGCAGTAGTGTGGACGTAACATAATAAAAAAGGCGGTGGTCTGAAAAAACGGCAGAAAAAGCTCGCTACACTAGCACATATCTAAAGATTGTACTCTCTCTCTTCGATCGGTTCCTCATTGCTGAGGATCGTGACTCCGTCCGATTTCGTCAACCAACTGTCTCCATCGATCCCGCCCTGCAGCCCGGTGGAGTGCGTCGCTGATAGGTATCCCCAGTTCCTCCGCTATTTGGTCCGACCATCGTTTGGGACCTCTACCCCTAGGCCTTTTTCCCTCTATTTTACCGGTCACCACAAGGCGTTCCAAATTGCTGGTGTCCCTACGTGCAACATGACCAAAATACCGCAATATTCTTTGTAGGCAGATTGTGGATAGACGTTGAATCTTTTCTATTTTTAATTTTTAAAGATTGTACAAGTGTTACAAATAAAGCAATACAGAATTAAGTGAACTATTGCAATCTGTGTATTTATTTCCTGGATTTGGAAGCTAAGTCAACACTAGCACAAACTTAATAAACGCACGAAAATATATAATATAATATATGCAAATTTTAATAGAGTGGGTAGTTGGCATTTATCGAACACCTGAGATCCTCTTGTCGTGAAGATGAGAACCGAAGTCAGACATAGTGCCAGACCTCAAGATACTGTTAGTTGATTGTTGATTGATTGAAATGAAATGTGAAAGACTAGGAATTTGTTTTTTTTTAATTTTCAGTAAAACAGACGGTAATTATGCACAATATTCAAATGTTGACTAATAAATGAACGTAGATAGGTAATAGAATTAGTATATATATATATAAATAATATATATATTTACTGGTGGTAAGGACCTCTTTTAAGTCCGCACGGGTGGGCACCACCACCCTGCCTATTTCTGCCGTGAAGCAGAAATGCGCTTCGGTTTGAAGGTTGGGGGCAACCGCTGTAACTATACTGAGACCTTAGAACTCATATCTCAAGATGGATGGCGGCATTTAGGTTGTAGATGTCTATGGGCTTCTGTAACTACTTAACCGGGTAGGCTGTGAGCTCGTCCACCCGCCTACGCAATAAATGTATAAAAACCACACGTACACATACATAATTATGTAACTAATGTCCTTGAAGAGGTTAACCAGGATAAGAAAAGCTCCAATTGTACTCATTTGAAATGAAGAAAAACATATTTAGTCACGAATAACAATTCTTAACAACAAATAATATCACAAACATAATAATAATTCCCAAAGACAATTCCAGTGGTTTCAGAAACCGTCCCAACGCAATGCTCGCCTGCTCTAGGTGAATTACTCTTTGTACAGTCGCAGGGAAATTCTTAAACTTATATTTACTTATCTATACATATAAATAAAATTGTAGTGGCTGTTTGTGACATTTAAAATAACCGCTTTTTACTTAATGCATATATGAATTATTCAATTAATTAATGCATTTCGGTTTGAAGGGTGGGGCAGTCGTTGTAACTATACTGAGACCTTTGAACTTATATATCAAGGTGGGTGGCGCATTTACGTTGTACATGTCTATGGGCTCCAGTAACCACTTAACACCAGGTGGGCTGTGAGCTCGTCCACCCATGTAAGAAAGAAAAAAAAAAGACTATATATACGGTACATACCTACACCAAAATATATTTTTTTACGATTTTTGTCTGTTTGTCTGTCTGTCTGTCTGTTTGTTCCGGCTAATCTCTGGAACGGCTAGACCGATTTTGACGAGATTTCACTAATAGGTAGCTAATGATATAAGGAGTAACTTAGACAACTTTTTTAAGGCTAGCTTCGCTCCGCGGTGTCACCCGCTCTACGAAAATAATCGCGGGTAACATCGCGTGACTCAGCTATTAATAATAAAATTTAATGTTTCCGAAGCGAAGCGAGGGCGGGTCGCTAGTTTATAAATATACATATTTTATATAACAAAGCGAGTTCTTCTGTCAACTTTTAAAAGACTTTCTGTATTGCCGTCCTAGGGTTTTCAACATTGAATACTTAATATGAATATATCTGATATTAAAATAGTATTTGTTAATGTTATTTGATTGTCTCTGTCAGCACAGCAGTTAGCGCCCCTGACTGCTGAGGGTAGTGGATTCGATTACCACATCGGGCAATTGTTTGTACGAACAACGAAGTTTATTTATTCTGTGTCTGGTATTAAATCTCTATACATATATATTTATAAAATATTTAAGTCCATAGAATACATAAGACCCTAGTTTGTGGCGAAGATAAAAGAGACATCATTTTGAAAATAAGTAGAAGCTCACAGCTTATATATTTTTGATACAAAAAAAAAATTATCTACTTTATTTCCGCAAAACTTGTTTCTCTATAATAGGGGCTCATTATAAAATAGCGTCAATTAAAGTTCCTATTAAAAAATAATCAGAGCAACGTCGAATCGAATTTGCGTAAAACATATAAAGGATTTCTAATTCGTTCATATGAAGTGAATGAAGAAGATTAGTAAAATCAAAAGTTTGTTCGCAGGTTAAAACCAAACTTAGTTTATAAATTTACCGAAAATCGCCAACCATACGGTTCGCTTTCAAGTCGGCCGCGTCGTGACCGGCGGTAACCGGTTTAATCCGGTTTTGAATGTGAAAAGAGACTCTCGGAAGAGCCGTCTTTTGTTGTACAAAAACTTGAAACTTTCACAAAAACTAGATATTTTTTTTTTTTTTTTTTATTGCTTAGATGGTTGGACGAGCTCACAGCCCACCTGATGTTAAGTGGTTACTGGAGCCCATAGACATCTACAACGTAAATGCGCCACCCACCTCGAGATATAAGTTCTAAGATCTCAGGTATAGTTACAACGGCTACCGCACCCTTCGAACCGAAACGCATTACTGCTTCACGGCGGAAATAGGCGGGGTGGTGGTACCTACCCGTGCGGACTCCCAAGAGGTCCTACCACCAGTGATTACGCAAATTATAATTTTGCGGGTTTGATTTTTATTACACGATGTTGTTCCTTCACCGTGGAAGTCAATCGTGAACATTTGTTGAGTACGTATTTCATTAGAAAAATTGGTACCCGCCTGCGGGATTCGAACACCGGTGCATCGCTTCAACACGAATGCACGTCTCATCAGTTAGGCCACAACGACTTTATCTTCATTCTTCATCTTTGATCAATCTAACTCGTTTTAACTCACATCAAATGATTCATAGGTGCGATTATTTTACATCTAACAGCAACCAAGATAAACAATTATGTTACATCAAGAAAGATTTCACAACGAATATGTATTGTATTGGCAATATGTTTAAATTTCGAAAAATGTAAGCTTGAGTCGCAAAAAAAAAATGTTCAGAGTAAAATTTTATTTCTTCTTTTAGCAACAGACGGAAAGAAAAAAGTCTATAAAATAAAATGGTTAGTTATAATATTTTCCTATTAAAGAAAATTAGAAATGAAACACCTTATTAAAATTGAGGAAGCCGAGAGCTCAATGTATGTTCATAAATATTATCATCGATCATGACCAATTTGTTTCTGACGGTACGTAAATTCATAGAATTTACAGATCTATAAAAAAATAGACAAGACTTTTTTATTAAATAATTTTATTAAACCGACTTAAATAATTGTAAATGGAGGTGTTATATTAGCAGTTCATATGGTCTATATATTGTTTACCCGGTATACCCTTCTATCGATTTCGAGACATGGGTAAATAATACCCAATTATTTTGGCGTGACGACTGTAATAAATATCCTTCAAACGGGAGCACATGATTGCTTCGCGGCATCAATAAGCAGGCTGGGCATTATAGAGTCGATGATTATTTTTGACACTATACATAGAGCTCTCGCATTAAACATTGTAAGCAAACAACAAAAAATATTTCTGATGCATTCATTATATAAAAACTTACATGTGTAGTCCCAGCTCTCCTGGTCGTTTTTGAAGACATTCAATTTTTCGGGCTGTAACAAGTAAATGTACAATGATTAATTCGCATTATATTTTCAGTCGCAAGACACCAAAAAGTTTCAGATTTAAAAAAAAATACAGTCTAGTTTTTGGTCTATAATAAAATCATAATTTGTTAAGCTTGAGTCAGACAGGGGAACGAATGCGGAGAGGGGGGGGTGAGCGTATAGTGCGCACTGATATGGGTCCCTTAAGCCTAGGGTAGGGCGCTTCTATTGGCTCTGCTCTTCGCATTGCTGACGTCCTTGTGCGACGGTAACCACTCACCATGAAATTGGCCGTATGCTCATCTGCCAACAAAACCTACAACCAAGGGTCGCAAGTCCACTGGCAATCTTGCGAACCCGATACCCGTACGATGAATCCAAGGATTGCTTGGTGGGACACAGCGAGCCACCACAAATATTGCTTCAACCTTAAACGAATAATATTTTCACGGCAGAAATTTTCGTATAGTATACAGATCGTGGTACGTGCCCACAGAAGTATGCCTTTGAAAAGCGCCAAATTTACATAAACTGCGAATTTGATTTAAAGACCGAATCTTAGTTCCAAAAGTTTTAGTTTAGTACTTATAGGGCAGGGGCTCTCAAACTTATTTTGTCTACTGCCAAGTTTGAGAATAAATTTTTTTTAGCACCCCCATTTTTTCACCTACATAAAAACCATTATAGCGAGAGCTCAGGTCGGTGTCTAAGAGTCATCCTAGATGAAATTACAAATCGCCTCCCAAGTCTCTACACAACGACCCCATTTTTTTCTGGGTCTCTTAACGCCCCCCTTTAAGCCTGCAGTGCCCACCAGGGGGGCGTTATCGCCCACTTTGGGAAAGGCTGTTATAGGGCATCACGCGAGTCCACGCGGATGGGTACCAACTAAAATACCGCAAGCTCGTCCACTCATCAAAGCCTTAAAAAAAGAAAGATTTTATTTAAAAAAAAAAAGGAACAATCTAGAACAAAAGTTTCAGTATGAGCTCGTTCTAATATATCGCTTACGGTTGTCTGAGCGCTGGCCGTTACAGCCGCCACAGTCTCCGGTACACCAGTAGCTCAATTTTACATTACTTTTTTTTTGAAAATAAATTAATTGGAAATTTTAAATCACTTTTAGCTTTCTGTGTTACATTACTGTACTGTATAATATTATTATTGACTATGTTACCGCAGTTTCGTGGTTGGTTGAAGTGAACGTGAAACCGAAATACATATTATCAGGTATCCATGTTTTGGAGCATGGAAGATCATCAATCATAGTGCTATTGGAGTACAAAGTAGCGACACCAGAGTCCTTTCCAATAAAATATGTATTTTGTATATATTCAAAACCTTTTACACGTTGCAAAATAAACAAATTAAAAAAAAACATTTTCAATATGGCTTCCTACGAATGAAACAACTGAATTGGCTCAACTGTGTAGACAGTTGGCAGGGGAACACGCGCGTATGCCCATATACTTACTTACGCATGCGAAATATTTTTATGGTCTTATCTAGTTTATTTAACATTACGATTTACGAGCACTGAGCGCAGTGGCAGTCTAGAGAATTGAATGGAGATTGGCTTACTCCGGGGGCAAGATTCGTTCCGGTTCGCTGAAGAACATTGAATGCAATACAGAGTGTTTAAATTGTAAAATTTGTATGGTAGTTATTCATCTATTTATTTCTAACGATAATGGGTGAACGAGATGACAGCTTATCTAGTTACAGGAAAACCAGAGACTTCAAACCGGGGATGTCGCCAACGATCTTGCAGCGTGAGATCCAAGTCTTCATGAAATTCCGAGACACTCATAAAATTACGAACATATAAGTTAACTATTCATAAACGAATGAAAGTATATAAAGAGAGTGAAGTGAGACTTCACGCGAGGTCATTGACCGCACACGACACGTGATTATGCATTGTACCTTATAGGTTGGTTTTGCCAGGGCTGACGCGGCCTCGAAACCGAAACGAATGACTCTGCTTTGCGACAAAAATATGCAAGACGGTGGTAACTACCCGCACGGACCTACAAAAGTCGGCTGATGGGATGTAAACGAGCATCGCGTGACATTTCATTAAAATGACACTTCTTAATCTTCCTAGTCGAATGTTCTTAGCAGAGAAGCAGTCGTGGCTGTCCATGGACCGAGTCACGTCTCGTCGCTTACAATACAGTCGCACGTTAGACGACCCGGTGCTTTTCGATCAACATTTAATTAACACCACAATCGAAGCAATAGGAGATTTATTGAAGTGAAACTTCTAATGCGACTTCCAACAAGGTTGCGTTAAACGCTTAACGCTACCATGGAGAAGGAATAGAAAGAGACAGAGCGAGAGTGAATGCGTGGCACTCGAACGCACTCGCGTAGTATACCTGTTACAGGCCAGCGAGCATTAGCAACGAATAGCGTCCAATATTTTAATGAAGTACTTAAAAATATATAAAATAGAAATGTTTAAGCTGTCGCATCTCGTATACGCAGCATTCCCTATTACCAGAGCAATCTGATTTAAGGATGAAAAATGAAGAAAACCACAACACTACACATCGAAAAAGAAGTTTCACATCATTCACGTGCACTAAGTCTTTTTTTTTTTTATTGCCTAGATGTGTGGACGAGCTCACAGCCCACCTGGTGTTAAGTGGTTACTGGAGCCCATAGACATCTACAACGTAAATGCGCCACACACCTTGAGATATAGTTCTAAGGTCTCAGTATAGTCACAACGGCTGCCCCGTCCTTCAAACCGAAACGCATTACTGCTTCACGGCAGAAATAGGCGGGGCGGTGGTACCTACCCGTGCGGACTCACAAGAGGTCCTACCCCCAGTAATTCCGCAAATTATAATTTTGCGGGTTTGATTTTTATTGCACGATGTTATTCCTTCACTGTGGAAGTCAATCGTGAACATTTGCTGAGTACGTATTTCATTAGAAAAATTGGTACCCGCCAGCAGGATTCGAACACCGGTGCATCGCTCAACACGAATGCACCGGACGTCTTATCCTTTAGGCCACGACGACTTCAAGTTACACGCGCACAGTTTGTTTTTTGCACGGTTATAACTCTTTTTATTTCTTCGCCTTTTTTGGAGGTAACATTAATTATAACGTCACAGACTATCCCCCTCTCAACATGTCCTGCGTTCCGGATCACGCATCATAAAAAGCTGCGTTCTTTATACGCCACAATGACTCTTACGTATAATCATTTAAGGTGCATATTCCCTTTCCGAGTACTTCGGTAACAGCTACCTTACTTACACCCGTTGTATGTATATACATCTTTCTATATCGCCACCCTTAATGTATTATGAACACGAAAACCGATTACCCAATTCCAATCACAGCATCATCTTCAATGATCCCCCGATCGACGTTTCATCTCGAAGCGTTTACAAACATTTACATTTGATCCACGTACACATCTCTCTGAATGTAAACAAATCGATTATGTATCTCATTACAAATTATTGTTTACGTAAGCAATGCATATATTTTTTATTATATTTATTGGACCGATATTACTTTAGACGTGAATTTGTATGGTTTTTTAAACGTTCGATTTTTTTATGTATCCGAGTTCATTGCGGGTTTAATTTACATTACTAATTGACTTTTTGGCGGAAACGCGAGGAGTGAAGTTGTGTGATTTGTTTTATTTTGTCTATTTAGTGTTTCTTCAGGTTTAAATGTGTAATAATAACGGTGGTTTATTAACTGTTTAATATCTGCGAAAGTGCACAAATGTGGGAAAATGAAACAAAGCCGTTGGACGTAACTTCTCGAGATCCTCCAAAAAGTCCGCTATAAAAATCTCAGTAAATGACCACCGTTTTACTGAGATTATATTTCATCTCATATCATTTCATTTAATTTCACCCCAATTGATTAATGTCTCATTTAATCATCTTCACTTCATTTCATTTCACTCCATATTATTATTTTTCATACCTAAAAATAAGAATATAAAAATGAAAATAAGACTTAAAGGTCTTAGTTATCAGGTCATAAAATCCCATAGAACATTACTAATTCTGTGGATATATATATAGGTATAAGTGACGTGTCAAATACATGGTAGTGTGTGTAATGTTTTTTTTTTTGATTGAATGTACTTTTACGCATAATTAAAAAAAAATTTAACATACAACTGCACTCCTGTATATTCTTATTAAGTGTGAGAAATTTCATACTCCTCCGTCCGCGCAATTTTCGTAAATAGGGCTACAATGTATTTGCTTCACATATTAATATTAAATAGTATATAAAACTACATACTTATTTGCAGCCTATTTGAGTGTGCCTGGTATTTATGCTTCCCAACAAGGCTTATTACGCTCGTCTGTCGACAATTTGGATTTACCATTTACTTGATTATTTCCCAATTACCTATTTAGATTAACGACACAAGTACTCACTTGTCCGTTTTGGGATCATAAATTTAAGCTACGATGCATACATCGTAGAGGACCCGCTCCGCTACGTAGACATTACTACGAGCGCTACGCAGATTTATCGTAGCCTAGGTACACCGTAGACAAATGCTACGGAGTTTGTAAAGGTAAGACTGAGGGGTCTCCGAATAAGTTTTTGATATGACATTTTACGGTTTTAATATAATTACAGCTATATCGTTTTTAAATGAATGACCATTGGGAGCATGTAAACAGCAGAGGGAGAACGTATTGAGTGGCAACTTTTTAAATTAATAGAAAATCAAAACGTGACGACCAAGGACAACAAAAATCAAAATCAAAAATAAAATAAAAATCGAACCTGCTATTGCGTTTTAACTTGTGGTGGGGCTTATTGTGAGCACATGTACTTTCATCCTCTTATGCTTGAAATACTGGCTCAATCACTATTGCGATAGCGATAAGACTCATTTCCGGCTGTATATAAGCAACCACTTAGCCTAGGACGGGCAGTTCCCCGGTCGGCGGTGTATCGCGTTCCGACCCGACAGGTTGGTTCTGGCCCAGCGGGGTATCCCGGAACACCAGCGACATCACCTGGGCGGCCTGGTAGGGCCGCCGTACCGCGGAGACCAACGTCGTTGGTCGTCGACTATCGCCTCGACGACCCGTCGGTTGTAGTGTTGACCGCGGGAACTCCCCCACTCTGACCGGGTTTTGACCCCGGACGGCGACCGGACGTCGAGTGTAAGAGTGCAGGGGAGTCGTTTAGTGGGTGGGCCCTAAATTCCTTGGGCTCGCGATTTGCTCTCAACACCTGCAGATCGTTGAGTCCCACATACCCCGCGCGCCCCCTAGGCGCGGGGATCTGGCAGGAGGATCGGCCCTCGGCCCGAAAAAAAAAAAAGGACGGACAGTTCATCTTATGATAGCAGAAAAAAATAATTTAACTACATTAATCAATCCCGTGGCAGAACTTCAAACGTAAATGAATATAATAATTTTGTGTGGGTATTTTTCTGTGTAAATATATTGACTTCGATATTTAAGAGTCGTACTTATCTGAGACTTTCGCATCGTGAAGATGAAAACCATTCAAGCAAACTGCTAGTCCTCGAGATACTATTATTAGTTTGCTCAGTTCGAGATGAAACGTAAAAGGTCTTAAAACAATATTTTTTTTACAGAAAAATAGACGGTAGTTAGCATAATATTCAAGTGTCGACATAACAACACCTTGAGCCATCCGTGATCACAAAAATTGTATGGTATTCGAAGCATTGGAAATATTATAGAATAACAGTGAACAAGTGGAAGATTCAAAACCCTACAAATAGTTTGAATTTTTTTTATTTATTGCTTAGATGGGTGGACGAGCTCACAGCCCACCTGGTGTTAAGTGGTTACTGGAGCCCATAGACATCCACAACGTAAATGCGCCACCCACCTTGAGAATAAGTTCTGAGGTTTCAAGAATAGTTACAACGGCTACCCCACCCTTCAAACCGAAACGCATTACTGCTTCACGGCAGAAATAGGCAGAGTGGTGGTACCTACCCGTGCGGACTCACAAGAGGTCCTACCACCAGTAATTACGCAAATTATAATTTTGCGGGTTTCACTTTTATTACACGATGTTATTCCTTCACCGTGGAAGTTAATCGTGAACATTTGTTGAGTAAGTATTTTATTAGAAAAATTGGTACCCACCCGCCTGAGATTCGAACACCGGTGTATCGTTCAACACAAATGCATCGGACGTCTTATCCGTTAGGCCACGACGACTTCAAAATTATTAATTCAATAGGGTAAGTTAATAGAGTAGGTAGAGTATATAAAAGAAGTCCACTGGTTTCGTAATATTTATTTAAAGTTCGTACACATACAGGAACTTTTTACATTTAGTAGATATCAACAGTTCGAGAAAGATCGATTTAATTCTTTAACGGGTAATGTACTACACAAAATTCCCGAGCAATGTAATGCGAACTCCATGTTAAACAGGTTGTGTTTACTTGACGGACTTTTTGGCGGGTGTACGCGAGGAGTGAAGTTGTGTGATTTGTTTTATTTTGTCTATTTACTGTTTTTTTAGGTTTAAATAAGTAATGAAGGTGGTTTATTAACTGTTTAGTATTTATGAAAGTGCACAAATGTGAGAAAATGAAACAAAGTCGCTGAACCTAACTTATCGGCATCTTCCAAAACGTCCACTGAAAGAGTCTCAGTAAATGACCACCATTTTACTGAGATTATACTTCATCCCATATCATATCATCTCATCTCATTTCATTTCATTTCATTTCATGCCGTGTTTCGTATTAATCAATTTCATTTCATTACATAATATCATTTTTTATATAAAAGATTTCATTAAAATTAAAATAAGACTTGACCTAAAAGGTCTTAGTTACCAGGTCATAAAATCCCTTAAAAAAAAAGTTTACTTGACGAATTGGCATGCTTTGACGTATGTCGAAAATCACCACAGTAATTCCGATTACCGCCTCTTATATCAAGTTATAAATCATATACGTGTCGTGAGTAGGTATTTTTTGAAAAAGCGACTTGGAAGTACCTAGTGCGATTCCCCTTAAATTCACGATCATAAATGCGCTCAACTAATAATCTATTTATTAATACGTGAAGTAAAAACTTTGTATCCCTTTTTACGAAAATTGCGCGGACGGAGGAGCATGAAATTTAACACACTTATAGAGAATATAGAGAGAAGTGCACAATGCTAATTTTTTTTTTAATTATGCCTCAAAAATAGATTAAATCAATAAAAAAAAACATTACACACACTATGTATTTGACACACACACATATTTATACTCTTATGTTTATTGTCAAACTTTTGTTATTGCTTAAAGTCTGTGGTCAAATTGAAAACATGTTAATATTGTTTATCTTTAATATTATTTGTCTACAGTGTAGTCTTGGCGAGATCTGTGATTATAGAAGTATAATAGTTTTTGACAATTGAACCATAATAATGTTCAACCTTAGAATTTCTGTTAATTATAGTTGAATTTCGACTACTGCGGGATCACTAGTTAATATAAATAAACGTATTGTATGATGAGCGGCGCTGAGCACAATCCAGTGTACGAAGCTCATGGTTCAGGGCGATTCGTTTAGCGAGCGAACGATTTTGCATCACTGCAAAACAGAATTCATTCTTCAGAACCTTTGTCTGGTTCATTACGGAACGTCGCGCGTTCGTTTCTCTCACGTGAGCTTTTTAAGCGGACAATTACAAAAGCTCTCACAATGGAATCGTTAGCAGACCATTGTGCTGATTGAATACTTGTTTTAAACGCGTTCAATCATCGCTTGGACATTACTGGCACAATTGAAAATATATAGGGTGGTCTATTATCTATTTTTACTTTTCTTTACATTGCTCGCTTGAACATTACTTATGTACAGGGGGATGATTACTTTTTTTTTCCTACTTAAGCTGACAGCCTTGAGAGGCTATTTCAGCGTAACCTTAACTAGGAGGTGTGCTCACGGGGCTCAAACCGGACTGGTGCTAACACTGACCCTAGGAAGAGCAGTGTTTCGCAGAATCTACCACCAGATCGGAAACGCGACCCACTGAGAAGATCCGGCGAGAAACTCAGTGGGCTGTCTCTATGGGGTAAATCGCTCATCGAGCCCTTCGTTGCAAGCTACGGGTTCGACGAGGACGGTGCCCGGTGATTGTAGTACCTAAAAGCGCCGTTAGTGGATCGGGAGGAGCCGAAATGACGTGATTTGGACGACATCGACTGCTTTCCATTCTGTCCGCAGGATTGGGAATGTTCAATCATCGCTTGGACATTACTAGTACAATTAAAAATATATAGGGTGGTCTATTATCTATTTTTACTTTTCTTTACATTGCTCGCTTGAACATTACAAATGTACAGGGTGATGATCTACTATTTAAACTTTTATATTGCTTAGACGTGTGAACGAGCACACGGTCCGCCTGCTGTCAAGTGGTTACTGGAGCCCATAGACATCTACAACGTAAATGCGCCACCCACCTTGAGATATAAGTTCTAAGGTCTCAGTATAGTTACAACGGCTACCCCACTCTTCAAACCGAAACGCATTACTGCTTCACGGCAGAAATGGGCAGGGTGGTGGTACCTACCCGTGCGTTCCGTTGACGTCTTGATGTCTTTAGAAATAATTGCATTATCTGTATAAAATATTGTCTGCCCATCTGATGCAAGAATAGAACTTGAATGCGACTGTTTCAACCTATCTTCGTTATTGAAAACTGTCCCCTCTCGTTCAGACAATAAGAGCGTAATACAATAACCGTTTTTATTTATTTAAAAGACTACCAGCTAGCTATTCGCAATTATACTAAAAACGCTTTTGTCGCGAATACAAAGAGATTTGTTTCATGAACCCGTCGGATGTATTTTCGTAACATTAATCATAACGGTTTTAAATTGCTACACGTTCGCTCGCGCTGACACGACACTCCGCGAGTTACATTGGTCTTGACGAGATAACAGAAAAACGTTTTCAGCTTTTATGCAAATTAGACCATATTTACAGTATGTGTAAATTATAGTAAACTATCGACCCGCTCTCGATTCGCTTCGGGAATCGTTATTATTGATCTTATTGAAGTGAAACTTCTTTAGAATCGTTGTGATTTCAAACTCGATGAAACGAAATGAAACGAAACGAAAAAATAAGTGTGCCGCGATTGGCTTGCCGAATGGTTCCGAGCGGCGCCGACAAATCACGAAGCGCTCCACACGGTCTCGCGTCCCCGACTAGTTCAGTGTGTTTTTAACGTCCGTGTACGCTGTCGTGGCTCTCGGAGCGCCCTGAGATACTTTTATTTCTATTTAGTTTGTTATCAACAAATGTCGCTGCACGTAAATTCAATAATTCCTGAATCGCGGTGACAAGACGTTACACAGTTGATAGACGTTCTCGTATTTCTCTTGCTAAATCATACATATCTGGCGTAGGGATACCGTGATCATGCAGGCGGTTCCCCCAGAGTAAGGCTGCTCCATTGCACTGCGGAGTGGTTAACCCTTGCGATTATTTTTATTTTTTATAAGTTTCGCTTTTACCGTGTGTGACTTGCACACACAAATTTATTTTTGAATTTTCTTTTATACAAAACTGATCATGACAGCAAAAAGAACGTAACAATACAAATAAATCAATCTTTCCTTTTCTCGTATTCATTGTTCACTATTTTGGCGATAGTAGCTTAGAAATACTGGTGGTAGGACCTCTTGTGAGTCCGCACGTGTAGGTACCACCACCCCGCCTATTTCTGCCGTGAAGCAGTAATGCGTTTCGGTTTGAAGGGTGGGGCAGCCGTTATAACTATACTGATTGTATGTAGATGTCTATGGGCTTCTGTAACTACTTAACACCAGGTGGGCTGCGAGCTCGGCCAACCGTCTAAGCAAAAAAAAATCACATACTACTACTAAAAAGGACCTAAAAATCATTAAATGCACTTGAATTGCGAAATTCCCTTAGATATTGTATTATAAAAAGAACGATCCGTCTTTCTGTAACACGATACCGACTCCAACGGACGTTAAGTGCCATTCTTGGTATGATTTGTTTGTTCGCGCGTCGAGTTACTTACTAAAACCATAAGATTATCTGTAAATTAACTCTGCGCGATCGATCTTTTCATGTTCAAAATTCGATAAGATGACAATGATATCCGAGCAAGATTTTGACGCTGCGAATTTTAAGCTCTATCTTTCATTTTATTATGTTATTTGTGGAAATGCCTCGGAGGCTCTACCTTATGTAACATGATAGAAGGCATTGTATTGTTACGCCGGTAAGAGTAACGGCATCTATCGCCGAATAGTCGAACGAATATCGAAGGACCTAGTAGCACCTAGAACGCTCGATAATTACAACGCCATCTATTGTCAGATAACGGAAACTACTACTAGAGATGTGTGGAATATTCTCAATAATTCTAGGGATGAAGTATCAGTAGAGATGGCACGCAGTCAGCCAGTAATCGGAACTAATCGAAGCGAAACGGCGAACGGATCACCTGAAGCGAAGCGGAACAAGCGAATTGAGAGTTTTTTAAAGTGTTTGTTGAGTGTTTTAAGTGTTCTAAGCGTTGAATACAGTTTTTAAGTTGTACTTTGGTGAAATTTTTATTTATCCCGAACCCCAGCGCGTAACAGTATCATTAAAATTTACTCATCTATAATGACAGCTACCCCCCCCACATTAAATTTTTAGGCTCGATCGGATAAAGGCCATGCAAACGAACCCACGCTCTGGTATAAGTCGGTACAATTCGGTCGGTATAATTCGTCACGAATGAAAGTTATTATTATTTACGAATCAAGCAGAGGGTCTTGCTTGTCTTCCATTATCATCGCTGGAAGACTGGTGGTAGGACCTCTTGTTAGTCCGCGCGGGTAGGTACTGTTACATATGCCCCACAACAATAACGTAATATAAATAATAATGCCGACTAAGGCATTCTTGAATGCATTGTCTCTATATAAAGACGATATATTGCAAAAGCGCGGCAGAACAGATTTGGCTTGAGTAGCGGAAACACACATCATTTTTACTACTTCTTTAATAAAATAAACTGCATGCCAGTCACCGTGTCCTTTTTTAAAAAGAGCTCCTGGACCCACCCCGTAACAGTACCACCACGCTGCCTATTTCTGGCGTGAAGCAGTAATGCGTTTCGGTTTGAAGGGCGAGGCAGCCGTTGTAATTATACTTGAGACCTTAGAACTTATATCTCAAGGTGGGTGGCGCATTTACGTTGTGGATGTCTATGGGCTCCAGTAACCACTTAACCACAGGTGGGCTGTGAGCTCGTCCACCCATCTAAGTAATAAAAAAAAGACTAGCTTACATTTGATGCAGAAATACCTATAGTCGACACATCCGCGTCGCAATTACGTAAAATGTTGAAGATACCAAAACGAATCTACTGATTTCGCGACAGAATATTCTCGTAGGATTGCAAATTAATAGTTTTTGCTACTAGTATGATACTAATCATAGTTTGAAGAAAGTTTTCGCCCATCCACTGGGTGTCATCGCTCATAGATAAACCATTTACTGGTGGTAGGACGTCTTGTGAGTCCGCGCGGGTAGGTACCACCACCCTGCCTTTTTATGCCGTGAAGCAGTATTGCATTTCGATTTGGGGGAAGGGGGGATGTGGAATTGACGTGATTGACATCTATTGTCTCAGGTGACCACTTAACACCAAGCGGGCCGATTACTCGTCCAGCCGTCTTTACAATAAATAAATAAAAAATGTTTTCCGACATTTCCGACCGATTCAATAATAGCTAATCTTACAGAACGGCATTCAATAAAACATGGCGCTATCTTCAAAGCACAGAATAGGACATGAGCTACTACTTCTCACTCCGAGCGAATCCCGCGGGGAGCACGCCGGCGCCGCGGGAAATATCTGTTATTTATATTCATACTGTATTTGTAAGTTACATGTTGCTCGTTCCATATTCACGTATGTGAAACTGGTGAGCCTAATTTAAACCTAATTTTACTGGTGGTAGAACGTCTTGTGAGTCCGCACGGGTAGGTACCACCACCCCGCCTATTTCGGCCGTGAAGCAGTAATGCGTTTCGATTTGTAGGGTGGGGTAGCCGTTGCAATTATACTGAGACCTTAGACCTTAAATCTCAAGGTGGGTGGCGGCATTTACGTTGTAAATGTCTATGGGCTCCGGTAACCACTTAACACCAGGTGGGCTGTGAGCTCGTCCACCCATCTAAGCAATAAAAAAACACATAAAATGCAATCGCGGGCAAAAGCTATAGTAGTTCAATATAATATAATATAAATATTTTTTGGTACTCACCTTAGCGAATTCAATTTTGAGTGTGCAGCATCCCGAGTATATGTCGCAGCCGTGTAGTGCTTCTTTTGCTCTCGTCGCTGATTCCACGCTTTCAAACTTGTGACCACGAGTTAAGGAATTCATTTCATCGTCAACGTACACACACACATACACACAGACATTCTTTCTTTTATTTCCCAACCTATTCGCTGACAGTCTAAGGGGCTATTCCAGATACCTGCTCTGAGGAATTGTTCGAGATGATACCGACATCTCGTTTTTACCATCGCATCGTCCGCCACCGGAGTAGAGTTCATCCATACTACCTGGAGCTACTGCGGTCATCCACAGTGCATTTCCAGAGGTCTTTTTGCCACGTACCATCCGGCTATGGAATGAGCTCCCCTCCACGGTGTTTCCCGAGCGCTATGACATGTCCTTCTTCAAACGAGGCTTGTGGAAGAGTACTTAACGGTAAGCAGCGGCTTGACTCTGCCTCCGGCATTGCAGAAGTCCATGGGCGACGGTAACCACTCACCATCAGGTGGACCCTATGCTCATCTGCCTACAAAGGCAATAAAAAAAAAAGATGCGCTGTGACTAGTAGGTGAGCTCACGGACTCAACTTGATGGTGTGTTATTTCCTCATGACATCAGTTGATACCGGACGTTTAACCCTTTAGAGCACAACTTATATACAAGTCTATATACCACAAGTACACAAGAGGCACACAAAAAGCTCGTCCATCCATACACATCAACAGGTGAAAGCTTCGCATAACGTATTCCCACTCTTCCTAAACATAACTTCAAAAAAACACATGACTTAAAAAAAACACACACACGTCATTAATTGAAATTAATCCTAACACTTTTTCAATTTTACCAAACAAAAAACAATTCTATATTTAAATCATTGAAAATCAAGTTAAAAATGATTGAATCCATCTCAAAAGATACACAGAGAAGGAAGAGAAAAGTTTTTAATACCCTAATTAAATATCGCCTATACGTTTTCTTTTGCAAAAAGGGATTTTTATTCAAATTAGTTCCGAGTTTTTCGGATCGAGATATCCAGTGGCGTTCGCGTTTTAAGGTAGTTGCGCGTCATGTACGGAGCGGGTAGCGGATGTGTGGTTTTACTGGTGGTAGGACCTCTTGTGAGTCCGCGCGGGTAGGTACCACCGCCTTGCCTATTTCTGCCGTGAAGCAGTAATGCGTTTCGATTTGAAGGGTAGGGCAGCCGTTGTAACTATACTGAGTTCTTAGAACTTATATCTCATGGTGGGTGGCGCATTTACGTTGTAGATGTCCATGGGCTCCAGTAACCACTTGACACCAGGTGGGCTGTGAGCTAGTCCACCCATCTAAGCAAAAAAAAAGAAGAAAAAAAAGTGTATAATTCTTTAGATGAGCCTTATTAATTGTTTTAATTGACCATAATTGATTTATACGGTACTTATAATAAATGTAAATTCTTATATCCATTTATACGGCACTTGCAATATAATTAATTTAAAAAATTCACGGCTCTAGACATAAGCGGAGCGATTAGCGTTTTCAACAACAAATACGTTAAATTAAATTAGTATTTTATAGAAAACTCAAAAATGGCTCAGATAAAGATTACGACCTTGAGTTTATTATATCTGGCGTTATAAGTACTAAGAAAAACACAATAAAAAAGAAACTTTATAATGAATTAAATAAATCCAAAAAACGCTCTGTTCATCATCGTGTCGTAACCCGAAATCGTTAAGGCGCACAAGGAAGTAGCATTTCAACAGTGAGGGGTGACTGAATAATCTTGATGACACTCAAACTTAGTCGCGTAAAAACATTTTCATATTCCGATATCCAACTCAAAAAACTGGTGTAACACATTAACGAGCGGACAGCGTTAAGCCGAATTTACATTACGAAATTAGTGGCGTGAAATTAATTTCGTGACATTAGTTTTACTAACAGTTTCATGTGTAATTTAATACTTTCGTAATGCATGCATTAATTTCATGCATGGAAATTAGTTTCGTGCCCTGCGCGATTTTTTGGTGAAATTAGTGTCATGCAACTAATTTCATAGTGTAGACGCGACGTGAAACTAATGTCGCGAAAGGGCCTGCGCTGTGCGGACGTGTGTATTGTTAGTTCGGACGCGCTTCAAGCGTTGAAAATGGCAAACCAATGATGGAGTACAGAAAAAAATATAGATCTTATTAATGAATATCAATGACAAGGGTCCCGAAACACCTATAGTAAAAAATCAAAATTATCTTCACTCATTCGAAAATAGTTTTTATAACTCTCAGGATCTTCATCTGCTAATTCAGAGACTAACTTCATTGCACCTAAATGCCTTCTTGTTGACCATCCTCGAATCTACCAACTTTTTTTTTCTTGATAGTCTTTTTTTAAGTTTATAGGTATATAAGCATTTCTTTAGCTACATTGAATATAGCAAATTATAGCTTTGATGCTGAAGGCGCCATGGTTACTGCGATACTGTTGATTTCGCGACACTAATTTTTTAACGAAATTACTTTCGCATATATCGAAACTACTTTCGTGAAACTGAGCTCAACATGCATGACACTAATTTCGTAATGTAAACTCGGCATTAATCTAACGTATCTTTAACACGGTTTTTGTTAGTTTCGCTTGCATGTAGGACACCGGGAATCTTATAGCGTGTTTATATCCCACTTCAATGCGTCGGATTAGATTGTAATTTTGCTTGCTTCTTAAGGACCGATGATATAACACTGCTTTTTGTTTCTACCCAAGCTGATATGGCTGATATAGGCTATGTCAGCATAACCTAACAAGTAGACTTGAGCTCAAGTCTAACGACTATGCTAACATTAACCCTAGCAGGAGCAGTGCTTTGCAGAAACTACCACCGGGTCGGAAACGCGACCCACCGACCGACCACCGGGGTGGGGCAGCCGTTGTAACTATGCTGAGACCTTAGAACTTCTATATTAAGTTGTGTGGCGAATTTACGTTGTAGACGTCTATGGGTTCCAGTAACCACTTAACACCAGGTGCACAGCTCGTCCACACATCTAGGCAATAAAAAATAAAAAAAAATCAATGAACGCAGATATGTAGGAGCTCCACGATCCACGACAGACTGACTGCGTTATCTCTTCACTTTTGTTCGTAACGATCTCGTTTTTACAGGACTTACCGTGATTCGTTTAAGAGTTTCATTTTCTTTTGATAAAATTTCTTACTCGCTTCAAGAGTGGCTTTGAAAATTTCATTTTGCTATTTTCAGTTCAAACTTTCTCTGGATTTCTTTTTATACGTTTTTATTATATAAGTTATGTGTCGAATATGGCTTTGAATTCTTTAATTTAAAAATGTTTTGAATTTATTAACTTCAAAGATGTTTCTCAATTTAAATTCCGTCCACTCCCTATTATATTAAGCTGTATTTATTTATTTTGATTTTCGAACCACAGTTATATAGAAATATTATGTTAAAATGTGTACTTCAGTGCTCTCTGCGGAGCGCTTCTCATAGTTACAAGAAACCACTAAATACTAATACTAATTCAATCAAAAACAAAATGTATCTCAACGACCTATCTATACATATAAATAAAATTAGAGTCTGTTTGTAATATTGAAATAGCCTCTTTTCACTACATGCATATGAATATACCTATATATACGATACATACACCACAATATTTTTTTTTACAATTTTTGTCTGTCTGTCTGTCTGTTTGTTCCGGCTAATCTCTGGAACGGCCGGACCGATTTGACGGGACTTTCACTGATAGGTAGCTGATGATATAAGGAGTAACTTGGGCTTTTTTTTAGACAAGCTTTGCCTCGCGGCTTCACCCGCCGTACGACAATAGCCACGGGTAACATCGCGGAACTCAGCTATCAATAATAAAATTTAATGTTTCCGAAGCGAAGCGAAGGCGGGTCGCTAGTCGTAAATAAATTACTAGAAAAGAATTTCGAGTATATTTGTCTCTTTTTTGTTATCTTCGTATATATGTGAGGTCTAGACAGATGGCCAACAGAAGTGCACGTGTGAACGGGCCTCCTCAATATCGAAAACGGGAGGAATTCCTTGAGGAGATTTTTTTTTAACTTGCCTAATCGTTGGTATTATTGGTGCATCTAAGGTGCTATTCCAACTTCGCGCGGACGGGTAGTGAGCTCACGGGCTCAATCTGAGAGAATTGCCAACACTAGCCCTAGCAAGACCAGCGCTTTGGTGAATCTACTAGCGGATCGGAATCGCGACCCACTTAGAAGATCCGACGAGAAACTCAGTGGGCTGTGTCTATGGGCTAGTTTGCGTGTCGAACGTTATCTTCGTTGGAGGATATTTCATTGGAGGGAACCTCAAAGGATTGCGATAAATATCTTCTTTTCAGTGCGATAATGAGACGTCAGCTGCTCCGTTGGCTTAGAGGTATCAATTTTTTCCCTACTAATAAGTTCGAATCTCCTTTTTTTTTATTGCCTTTGTAGGCAGACGTGCATACGGCCCAGCTGATGGTGAGTGGTCACCGTCGCCCATGGACTTCAGCAATTCCAGGGGCAGAGCCAAGCCGCTGCCTACCGCTACTGCCTGCTTCCTATATAACCCCCAACTCTTACTTACCACACGCTCATTTCGATCTGTATTACGCACGCACGCAGTCAGCCACGTGTGCCTCTTATAACTCAACCAAACGATTATTCACCGACAAAACTATTTTAATCGTAAATCAACGAGATTTTAATATCGGTACCGTATTTATTTGTACTACTATTATTAATAGTTCGTACGATTTAGAACGAGGTTAGAATGTGTTATGCGTTTGGGATACGATATATCGTGCTTCGTGTTTACGATTACTAAAAATGAATATACTCTGCTTTTTTATTGCTCGAGTAGGCGAGCATACGGTCCCCTGGAAGGTAAGTGGTTAACGTCGCCCATGGACTTCAGCAATGACAGCGGCAGAGCCAAGCCGCTGCTTACCGCTTAATACTCTCCACAAGCCTCGTTTGTAGAAGGACAGGTCATAGCGCTCAGAAAACACCGCTCATTCCAAAGCCGGATGGTTCGTGGCAAATATGATCTCTGGAAACGCACTGTGGATG